AAACAGCTTTTCATGAGCTTATTGTTCATGTGTATACAGTTGTCCCTCAGTATCTGTGGGGAATTGGTTCCAGGATCCCCCTTGGATACCCAAATCTGTGAGTGCTCAGGTCCCTTGTAGAATATGGCATAGTATCTGCATATAACATATACCCATCCTCTTGTATACTTTAAATCACCTGTAGAGTACTTAAATACCTAGCACAGTGCCTACACTCCACTTTCGACTCAGTGTAGTACCTGGAATGTGGCAAATTTTTGCTTTTTAGAACTTTGTGTAATTTTTTTCTTCCAAATATTTTAGATCCACAGTTGGTCGAATCCATGGATACAGAACCCACAAATACGGAGGGCTGACTATATCTTTGAAGAAATGCCTGTTCTAAATCCTTTGTCCATTTGGTTATTTGTCTTTTTATTGTTGTGAGAATTCTTTATATATTCTGGATACAAGTCTCTTATCAGATGTGTAATTTGCAAACATTTTTTCCTACTCTGTGGGCTGTCTTTTCACTTTCTTAATGGTGTCTGTTGAAGCACAAATGGTTTTTAATTTTGATAAAGTCCAGTTTGTTTTTTACCTTTTGGTGCCTGTGCTTTTGGTGTCATTTCTAGGAAACCATTGTCTAACCCAAGATTATGAAGATTTACTACTGTTTCTTCTAAGGGTGTTATAGTTTTGGCTCTTATGTTTAGATCTGTGATCCATTTTGAGTTAATTTTTGTATATGGTGTGAGATAGGGAATACCATTTTATAATGGAAACATTTTTATGAAATGGTTATACTTTCAATTCTTTTATGCTTTTGTTCTTTTCATATGTCTCTGTTCAATATTTTTTCTTCATTTTTAATGAAAGATTTTTCATTAAAAGGTCAGAAGTTTAAGACCAGCCTGAGCAAGAGTGAGACCCCCATCTCCACTAAAAATAGAAAAAAAATTAGCCAGGCAACTAAAAATAGGGAAAAAAAAAAAAAGTTAGCTAGGTGTGGTGGCACGTGCCAGCTACTGGGGAGGCCAAGACAGGAGGCTTGCTTGAGTCCAGGTGTTTGAGGTTGCTGTGAGCTAGACTGATGCCAGGGCACTCTAGCCTGGGCAACAGAGCCAGACTCTGTCTCAAAACAAAAAAAACCTTGTAGCTGTTTCTTTTGTTAGTTACAGGTCTATATCTAAATAACATTATTCTAATGCTACTGTTTTTTTCCAAATTAAGTATTGACTTCTTACCATGGAAGGTGGTAGGGATTTAGCTCTATTTGATTATCTATAAATCCCCTTGAAACTCTTACTCAGTTGTCTGTATTTCTTCTCAAAATATTTAAACGAATAGAAAATCTTCTATTTCATTGTCTTAGAAATATTTCTCCCAAAGCCTTCTCACAAGCTTATTCTGGAATGATTGCTCTCTTGGTTTGCTGTGCAGCAATTATCCTGGGTCGGTTTTTCCCCCCTTTCCCATATTTTAATCCCTGTTTCCTGTATACTATGCCGACTTCTAGTTTGGTTCATTCCTTTGCTTCCTAGAACAAGAAAATCTTTTTCTTTTCCTTTTCTAGGCTTAAGCCTGACTGGCAAAGAATTATATAATAGTTTGAAAGTAAATTTTCCCACGGATTTTTTTTTGAAGTTTTGCCCTGGGTTTGTTTGTTAGTTTCCTTTATTGATGCTAAGTCTAATACGTTATGATTCCCAGTCTTTTTTATGTTTGTTACCTCTCTACAAGCTTTTGTGACTGCCTCTTTGTTTCTAGAGTTCTGTATGCTTTGGTAATGTGCCTTTGTGGTCTTTCTTTTATCCATTGTGCTGAGTACTTGATGGGCTCTTTTAATATTGAATAACGTCTTTTAGTTCTGGGAAATATTATTGAATTATTTTAATGATGATTTCTTCCTCTCCGTTTTGTTTTCTTTCTTTCTGGAACTCTTTAGACTTTCTAGAAATTTTTAATTCTTTTTCTTTCCTATTTCCTGTTTCTTTCCTATTAGTACTTTGTTTTGTACTATTTTCTAGGAAATTTTTTCAAATTTTTCTTCCAATCTTCTATTGCCTTTTTCATTTTTGCTCTATTTTAAATTTATAAGACATCTTTCTTGTTCTGAGTGTCTCCCTTCCCCTTTTAAAAAAAGATAACATTCTGTTCTTTGTGTTGTAATATCTCTTCTTATTTCTGAGGAGTTACCCTTTTAGATGTTTTCATCTCCCTATGTAGTCTGTTTCCTCTAAATGGCCTGCTTTTTCCTCTTTTGTTTCATTTGGACTCTGTCTTTTGTATAGATGCTTGTCTTTGGTGTTTGGTTTTTGTAGTGTAGCACATTTACAGCAGTTGCACAAAAGTGATTATACTCTCTATAGGTATGGATAGGCCTAATAGTGAAACTCTACTTCACGTAGGTGGCTAGGCTGTTTCCCTGGGGAATCCCTAATGTCAAAATCCAAGTGTTTTTGGACTAGTCAGATTTGAGAAGAATTTGTAGATTTCCATCCTGGAAAGGGTAAACTTGGATGCCAGTGTTCCTGGCAACTGAGCGGAGGAAAAGAGCTGGAATCTTGCCAACCTCATTATATAGCTGGACTTTCATTTTATTTTCCTGTTTTCAATATATTATTCCTTTGCTCAGTGTGCTCAGAAGATATTTTGTTTTACCTTCTCTAATTAATGGAACTCCAGCCTTCTAGACTTTTGTTAGTTGTCCTGTTTTCAGCTTGACTTTTATCCTAATTTCCCTATTTAACTGACATGACCTACCAGTTCTGAGCCTTTTTGTGTAGTGGAGTAGGGAAGATGGAGGTTGGCGAGAGGTGGGAAAGGTGGGGTGGTTCTGTAGATGCTTCTTAGCTTTCCGTACTACTGATGGTAGGGATGGTGGTGAGGGTTGCTTTTTGAAAAACTGGGCAAATGAAGAGGGCTCCCTGAGAAATGACATTTAAGGAAGGACCTGGAAGAAAATAAAACTCCACTTTACAATTTCATTCCTTCACTTTTTACCCTTATTTTTCAGTCTGTTTCCATTTCTTATTTCTTAATTTTTCCTGTGCTTTTAAAATATTAAATATCTTCCCTTTCCTAATTTTCTTTTTCTCTTTTTAAAAAGAATTAGACTAGAAATACACGAATACATTCTTTTGCAAAAATTCAGATAATGTGAAGTTGTAGTCCTTCTTGACCAGAACCTTTCCCTTCACCTGTCCTTGTTTAGTGTATATCTTTTCAGACCTTTATCTGTACGTTTTATATGTGCAGAAAGACCTAGTTTTCCTGTGTGTTTCTAATTGCATATGATGCCTTTGTTGTACTACACATATTGTTTTGTAACTTTTTTGTTGTATTTACTATTATGTATTGGTTATATAAAAATTTTAACATGTATCAGTCTTTAAATTATTGACTAGTATTTCATAGCTACCCCTTAGTTTATTTACTCATTCTTCCATTGATACATATTAGGATATTTCCAGTTTTTAGCTGTTTTACAAACAATGCTGCAATGAAAATTTTTGTATGTATCTTTTTGTGTACATGTGTGAGTTATTCTCTAGGGTAGATGATGAAAACAAGAGTTGCTGCAGTTAAACACATGTGTATTTTGAATTTTAGTAAATATGGCTAAATTGCTCTCCTGGAGTCAGTAGTAATGAGCACTGTGATCAACAGTGTGAGATAGTTTATTTCCTTATACTGTCTTCCATATTTGATATTATCTTTGTTCAAGTGAATGGGGCAAAAACAATAGAAATCTTATTTTAACTTGCTTTTTTTGTTACTGAAGTTGACCATCTTTCTATTTTTTTTTTATTTCAGCATATTATGGGGGTACAGATGTTTAGGTTACGTATGTTGCCCTTGGCCGCCCCCCCCCCCAAGTCCGAGTTTCAAATATGTCCATCCTTCGGGTGGTGCGCATTGCACTCTTTGTGTATGCATATACCCGTTCCCTCCTCCCTCCTCCCCCCTCCCCCTGCCCAACATCCAATAGATGTTATTCTTATATGTACACTTATGCCATCTTTCTATTTTTCACTTTATATTTCTTCTTTGACTTGCTTGCTCATACCATTTGCTTATTTTTCTGTTTTTATATTTGTCTATTTCTAAATAAATTGGTAGGATTTGTTTTGTAGTTTGGATGTTTTTCTTTTATCTGTTATGTATTTTAGAAACATTTTCTCCAAGTCTTGCTTCTCTTTAACTTATGTATGGTGTCTTTTATTGTATAGAAGTTAAACTTTTTGATTTAGCAAAATTATTAATACTGTATTTTAGGCTTTTGCCTTTATTCTCTTTTAAAATTGGAAGTTCTGTAGAACTATACAGTAGATGTGTTGCTTTTAAATTTGTTGGTTTGTTTGTTTTTTAAATAGAGACAGGATCTCACGTTGTTGTCCAGGCTGGAGTGCAGTGGCATGATCATAGCTCACTGTAGCCTCAAACTCCTGGGCTCACATAATCTTCCTGCCTCAGCCTCCCGAAGTACTGGGATTACAGGCGTGAGCCACTGTGCCCGGTGGCTTTTAGCTAATTTCGGTAGTCAGTAAGAAAATATGCAACCAATAGTGGCTAGAGTACATAGCCACCATTGGCTGTTTTCCTCAAATAACTAAAAGTCTGAAGCTTTTTGCAATGGTTCTCTTGCTTTTTCTCTGTGGTCATAAGATGGCTGCCATATTTTTAGGCATCATGGCTACATTCAGAGCAGGAAAAAAGGGGAAAAGGGATGTGACTTTTATCATTAAAGCAAAAGCATTTCCAGAAGCTCTGAGTTGACTTCTTCTTATATTTCATTGGCAACCCTAACTGCAAGGAAATCTGGGCAAGCTTTTCTTGCTTTTTTTGGTAAAAATGATCAAGGGAAAAAAGGATAGGAAATAGTGTTCAGTTTTCCCACCAGTGATGTCTTCCACGACCTACGAACTTAATTTAAATAGAAGCTGAGAAGATGTTATGGATTGAAATTAAATTCTAGTTTTAGACTTTAAATATTTTATATGTTATAATTATTTTAGGACTCCAGTTCAGTTGTAGAATGGACCCAGGCCCCAAAAGAAAGAGGTCTTCGAGGATCGGAACATCTGAACAGTTACGAAGCAGAGTGGGACATGGTTAATACAGTTTCATTTAAAAAGAAACCACATACCAATGGAGGTATGCATTAAATCTTTTGAAATCTTAAATTGATTTGCTATGATTTAATAAACTAATAAACAAAAGTGCAAAGAAAATTCTTTAATGCTCCGCAGTTGGAAAAAGGATATTTGGTACATTAATATGTATAACTCTCATATTTTAGTTATATTCCTTTTTGTTGTTACTTCAAAAAAGCATTTAAGAATACTTGTTCTATTTTATATTTATTAATGGCAGAGAATAGAAACACTTTAAAAATTGTTTCAAGCTAGTCATCTGTAGTTCCAGTTTACTCAGGAGGCTGAGGCTGGAGGATCCCTTGAGCCCAGGAGTTTGAGTCCAGCCTGGACAACATTAGTGACTCCATCTCTTAAAAAAATTGTTTGGCTGTCTTTCATGCACATTTTTCTTAATCTAGTAGAATTTAAGAAATCATATTATTTCATCCTAAAGTACCGGGGGAGATGGAGTATACTACTAAACTGTACCATTCTAGTTTCAGTGTTTACTGGGATCTTCATGGCTCATTGCAGTCTCTTCTGTATATACATTCAGTGACTGTTCCCCTTTCTGTATATACAGTCATGTGCCACGTAACAATGTTTCAATCAATGATGGACTGCATGTATGACAGTGGTCCCATAAGATCATAATGGAGCTGAAAAATTCCTATCGTCTAGTGACTTTGTAGCTGTTGTAGCATCACAGTAGAGTGTGTTACCATTTCTATGTTTAGATACACAAATATTTAGCATTGTGTTACAATTGCCTAAGGTATTCAGTACAGTAAGGTGCTATGCAAGTTTGTAGTCAAGGAGCAATAGGTTATACCATATAGCCTAGGTGTGTAGTAGGCTATACCATGTAGGTTTGTCTGAGTACACTCTGTGATTTTCTCATGGCAACACATTTACCAGAATGTGTCCCTGTTGTTAAGCCGTGCTTACTATCTTTAAATCTATATTGCTATGTGATGGTTATATGTATGTAGTTAGTAAAAAAAAAAAAAAAAAAAAGATCCAAGATAACAGCCTGACGTTATTGTATATCCTAGTTTGTGTAAGAGTTATAGCTCATATGCCATAGAACACATATACTACCCTATATATGATCTAGCTATCCCATCTGTGATGTGGCCAGCTTACTTGTAATCTATTTTTAAATTATTGAATACTTATATAGAGTTAAAATGTCTTTTTTTTTTTTTGATTCCTTTGTACTGTAATGAAAGGATATTTTCTCTCAATGATTTTGGCCTGAATTTCAGAATTACCCATATCTTCCTGTTCAAAAAGACAAACTTATGGGAGCGTGTGTTGCTACATTTATGTACAGCATTGTTAATAAGTAAAATTAATTTTCATGTGTGGTCTGGGGAATCATTCCCATATATAATAGTTGTACTTTGTATTTTATCATTTTTAGGAAAGAGTGGCAATTAAGAAGTAAATAGTAATTGACAAGCTTTTGGAAACAGTGAGCTCACAATGGGATGTCTTTTGTTTTTTTTCTTTGATTTTTTTTTTGAAGGCATTCCCTTTCTACTGAAAGGGAAGGTTCTTATTAGAACCAGAATGCAAAATATCAAGGAAAGATGAAACCACAGGATTTTAGTATATGTGGTATGTGAGGTTATTTGACTTCTCTAAACAAGATCTTCAGGACTGGTTTATGTGAACTGATTTTTGTTGTTGTTGTTTGTTGCTTAATATTGTTAGATTCTTAAAGATGACAGGCTACAGGAATGAGCAAAGGAATGAGTTTTCAGAATTTCATAAAAGAAGGAAGCATTACATGGATGAGAAAAGCATAATTTGACAATAAAGGTCTCTTTAGATTAGTGGTTCTGAGCCTTGGCTGCCCACTGGGTAGGTTAGGTTTTTAAACAAAATACCAAAAATCACACTTTGGAGATGGAGCCCAGGCATTTATGTTTTGAGAAGGTTTTCAGGTGATTTTAATGTGTGGTCAGAGTAGAAAACTTGAACTCTCAAGATTATAAATTCAAAGGCTTCAAATTTATGCCATTATGAAACATTCTTTTATATTTTA